AGGGGAAGCCCCCCGGGACCTCTGGGACGCGCTCCGGGCCACGGGAGACACCGGCCGAGCCACTGCCTGCGGGGCTGTGGGGCCTCGCCTCGCTACTCTCCCCTTCGCTAGGGGGCGAGCTGCGCCCTCCGCCCGGGCTTGCCTTCTCCCGGTTGCCGGAGGAGGACAAGATCAGGGTGGAGGAAAACGCAAAGAAATAGCTCAGCTGCACAGGTGGTCGGGAGAGGGCTGGTTCCTTCCTGACTTTTAAAGAAAGACCGCGGGGTCTCCCGGCCTCAGCCTGGTCTCTGTCCCGTTGCCCTAGACAGAAGCACCAGTGCTGTAAGAGCGGAAGGTGGGTGGGCCACAGGGTAGCTCCCAGGCCGTTCCCCCGCCAGCCTGGGCTCTGTAACCGCAGCCAGCCCTGAGGTTTGCGGGCGACTACAGGAAGGCCGGTGACCTTGGGTAAACCAGACTTGGCTTCTCTGAGCCTCAGTTTTCCCCTCTGAAAATGGGAATGATAAATACTCCATGACCCATTGACCCATAGCGTGTTTGGAATTTAGGGTAAAAATACAGGCGAGTTGTTACTAGGGGGCAGGCGAGGCAGATCAAGGTCCTCACAAGGCTGAAGTTTAACCCACAAACCCCTTCAGGCGAATGAAATAAAGCGCGGCTTCCTACCAGACAGTTACAGTTTGAAGTGCTGATTCAGTTCATTTTTACCAACTTAATTACTTTAGAGCCATACAGACCCCATTGGGTACAAAACAAGTCACTTTTAGAAAAAGGTGTCAGTAGCATTTATTAACAACGCTGAGAGATAAACCATACCCGGCAATAAATAAGCACGAAGTCTGCTGGCCAGAGTTCTCCCCACAACGCAGTTCTGTCACAGGTGCTGGGGAATCGTAAACATATGGATAAATTATATAAATTATATATTTAAAGAGAAATCGTCTATGTCATTAACTCAACAGAATAATAAATAGATAAATAACAACAGTTGATTGCCATTAGAAAACTCTGATTCTGAAAGCACACTTCCGTCAGGGGCATTCACAGGCGCCCTCCGCACAGTAGCGCTTCGACCCCAGGCGAGGGCGGTGTCAGGACACAAACTCCAAGGGCGGCTCGTTCTCTATGTTGCTGAAGGAAGACCTGCTGTTGAGCTTCCTGGGGTCCTCCGGGGTCCACACTCTGGCCGTTCGGATGACGTTTCGTTCTTTGAGCTGCTTCTCATCAGTCCACGAGAGCGAGTGGCCGGCGAGGGGAGGGAGGCCGTAATCCGGGTCGCTGGGGGAAGGGGAGCCTGGGAGAGAGAACGGAAAACAGACTGTCGCCCCAGCCGCGCCAGTCCCCGGCCCGGCCACCTGACTTAGGCTAGGCCAAGTCCCCCTCCGGCCTCCAGCGC